GCTGGTAAAGAAGGACGGGAAAGGCAAGATGCAATTTTAAACAGGTAGCCTGGTTAGCCCCTTGGGAAGGGAAATGAAGAAATGAGCCAGAAGGACAGGTGCACAAAGAGCCGTCTAAGTAAAGGTCCTGACTCAAGACAGGAACTAGAGAATTCAACTGTTAATATCTATGTATCTGAGAAAGTCGTAGGATATGAGTTCAGAGAGATCAAGGAGGTGGGAGTAGATCACAGAAAGCTTGAAGGTCACTGAAAAACTCTGGTTTTATTCTGAGTAAAATAGGAGTCATTAACAAGGTTCTAGGCAGAGAATTTACAAGACCTGACTAAATTGGATCACTCTGGTTTGCTATGTTCAAAACAGACAGTGGGGGAAAATGGAAGTAGGGAAAACTATCATAAAACTCCAGTTAGCTAGGTCAGAAGTATTGGTGGTTTGGAATAGAATGGCAGGAGGGAAGTTAGGATGCTATGCAGATTTTGTATATATTCTCAAAGCAAAGCAAACAGGATCTCCTGACTGATTAGATATTATGGGTACTGAAAAAAGAAAAGTCAAGGATAACACCAACATTTGGTTAAAGGCTAGGTAAGAAAAGGAAAAGTGGTCAAATTGGACTTTGTGAAAATTGTACATTTTGTATGTCAAAAGACACATCCAGAGTAAAAATGCAATCCACAGAGTGGGAGAAAATACTTGCAAATCATGTATCTGATAAGGGATTAATATGCAGAACATATACAGAACTCCCTAAAACTCAACAACATAACAATCCAATTCAAAAATGGGCAAAAACTTAAGGAGACATTTCTTGAAAGAAGATATACAAAGTCTTCATGTGCTGTTGTGGGAATATAAAATGGTACAGCCACTGTGGACAACAGAAACGTTCCTCAAAAAAAATTGAGGACAGAATTATCATGTGACCCAGCAATTAAGAAATATTTACATACCTATGTTCATAACAGCATTATTCACAATTGCTAAAACATGAAAGCAACCCAAGTGTCCATCAATGGATGAATAGGTAAGCAAAATGCAGTGTGTACATACAATGGAGTATTATTCAGTCTTAAAAGGAGAGGAAATTCTTCAATATGCTACAACATGGATGAACTGGAGGACACTATGCAAAGTGAAATAAGCCAGTCACAAAGATAACTGCTGTATGATTCCATTTATATAAGGTACTTACACAGAGTAATCAGTAACAAAGAAAGTATGATTGCCAGGGGCTGAGGGGAGGGGGAGAATGAGAAGTTACTGTTTAAAATGTTTCCGTTTACAAGATTAGAAGAGTTCTGTAGATGGAGGGTGATGGCTGCACAACAGTGTGAATGTATTTCAAACCACTGAACTGTACACTTAAAAATGGCTACGGTGGGCATTTGTGAAGTATAACAATGAAGCAAAACTGAAGGAACAAAATGGCAGCAGACTCAGAGACTCCAAGAATGAACTAGTGAAAAAAAAAAAAGAATGAACTAGTGGTTACCAAAGGGGAGGGGTGTGGGACGGCGGGTGGGGAGGGAGGGAGAAGGGGACTGAGGGGTATTATGTTTGGTACACATGGTGTGGAGGATCACGGGGAGAACAGTGTAGCACAGAAAAGGGACATAGTGGATCTCTGGCATCTTGCTGCACTGATGGACAGTGACTGCATTGGGGTGTGGGTGGGGACTTGATAATATGGGTAAATGTAGTAACCACATTGTTTTTTCATGTGAAACCTTCATAAGACTATATCAATCATACCTTAATAAAAAAATTTTTTTTAAATGGCTAAGGTGGGGAGGGCGGTCACAGGGAGGACAGTGTAGTACAGAGAAGACAAGCAGTGACTCTGACATCTTCCTACACTGAAGGACAGTGACTATAACAGGTGTGTCGGGGTAGGGACAACTTGATAATATGGGCAAATGTAGTAACCACAATGTTTTCATGTGAAACCTTCATAAGAGTGTATATCAATGATACCTTAATTTTAAAAAAATCACTGTCAGGAGCTGACGACTGAATTAAGGATCCATCCCTTTCATTCCACTGGAGAGAACCAAGTATTGGTCTCTTCTAGTATCTTAGGCATTTAATAAAATACATACACACAGTCATATGGACTAGAAGCTCTCATTATGGCAAGTTACATGCCCTCTCAATGTGGATGACTCCTGTCCTCTTACCTACTGGTGAAAGCCATCAATGAATACCCAGTATTCCTGGTGATTCCTGCTTCTAGGCTCATGCAGAATAATCTGCTCTGAGAGAGCAGTTTGCTCTGAACAGTAAGAGCTATCGTGACTGCTTCTCAACAGACCAAGTAAAATTACACATCAGTCTCAAGTTTCTATGCCCTTGTTACACTTTTGTTGACTTCAGTATATTAGAAAGACATTCTGTGATGTATCTGTCTACCTCTTCACCAGCATTCACATTCCCTAGCATGAAACCAGGCACTCTGGCTCTACATTTTCCTGTGGCATTACCAGCCTTCAACATAGCAAATGCTCAAAAAGATCTGTTGAAGAAATGAAAGCTTCAATTTCCCCCTGCCATTCTTGCAACATTTTCTAATCTCCCCACCCCCACAAAAAAAGGCAGAGCGTAAGAATTTCACGTGTTGAAATAGAGTATGATGTCATCTGTGAAAATAAAGATGCATCTTCTTTTTAAAAAAATGGCTAAGGTGGTAGATTTTATGTTTATATGTATTTTAACACAATTTTTTAAAAAAGGATAATAGTCAATGCCAGCTCCAAGGTTTTTGGTTAAAGGCAAGAGCTGTGGGAGAATAAAGGAAGACATGGTTTGAGAGGAAAGATGAGCAGCTCAGATTTGGACACTTTTCAGTTTGAGATTATCTGTAAGATATCCAAATAGAGATATCATGTAGGCAATTGCACAAACCAATCAAAACTTCAGGTAAGATATCTGGACTGATATAAATCTGTAAGTTGTCAGCATAGATAGTATTTAAAACCATGTTCATGAGCTCACCAGAGGAATGAGTATAGGTAAGAACAAATAGTGAACATGGATATTGGATAAACTAATGTTAAAGAGATCAGGAAGAAAAAGAGGAACTCGCTGAGAGGACACAACCAGCCAGTAAGATAGGAAGAAAAAACAACATAGTGTGGTGGTGTCCTAGAAACCAAATGAAAGGTTTCAAGACGTAAAGAATGATCAACTGATCAACTGCTCTCATCAGTGTGGATATTGTCATCTCCTAAGAAGGTCAGGCAAGTACTCAGCACAATAAATAAATATTCAGTAAATACACAAAGAGAAATATTATAATTAATCATTATTTCAAATTATCTTAATATTTCTAAAGCAGCACAATTGAAAATGCATCAAACTAAATATGTACCAGTAAAAGATCAACTTTGTCAAACTCTAATACTTTCACAAAAAAACTTTTGTTCTGCCCTTTCAAAGTATCACTATTAAAATTGGGAATTGTCAGTGCTTTGACATATGGCCACCATAACGCTGCCTGTCCTCTACTTGGTAACAACAGAAACCTCCCAATATAGAAGAGCAGTGAAGGAACTAGTACCTCATCTGTCAACTCACTTTCCCTTTCTGAGCCTCCTTTTTTTTTTTCACTTGTAAAGTGAACCTTCATATGTTCTTCCAAGAATGCCCTGGTCCTCTGATCAAATTCTGAAACACTTTAAGCTTTAGCTCCAGTTACTTTCTCCTTGAAAACTACCCAGGTTCTCTAACCCCTGTTCATCTCCCCCTCCTCTGAACACCAACATTTATTTTAACTATATACAGATTATTCATTTGGTCCTAAATCACATGCTGCCTTAGATATTCTCTTACCTGTTTTATGTGTTTGTCTTAAGCACTCCCATTGACCAGAACATGCTAAGTATATATTTGCTTTGTTTTTCCCCTATGACATCTAATACAATATGTAAACAGAAATTAATGATTTAATGGGGCAAATAAAGAATTAGTAAGAAAGACCTCTTCTGTTACTTCCTAGAGAGACTGAAAGTATAGCTGCTGAAAGTAAAACAGCAATGCTATAGTTTTTTTAAAAGACATACATGATGAAAGACAAAACTCAAATGCATACATGGCCATAATTGCTTTTTGCATAGGATAATTGAGGGACTAATCTGAAATTAAAAAAATAAAGTCAAACAGCACCTTAAACTGAGGATGCAAAAAATTCATGTAAACTCACAAAAACATACAGAATACTAGGTAGCCAGAACAAAGTAAATCTAGTTCTTGACAGATTTTAAGATCATTTTTCCTGGCAGACATACCAGTGATTATTGGCTTCACTGGCCAGTAATTTAGCTACTCAATAAATCATACTACAAGGTACTAGATTAGGTGCTATAAACCATATGGGACCCTGGCCCACCCACCTAAACTCTCCTGAGGAGTTTGTTGATATGCATGTTCCCAGGCCCATATCAGACTCAATGACTCAGAATGGTGAGGAGGGGGGTCCAGGAACACAAACTTTAACAAGTCCTTCAGATGATTGTTTTATACATTAAAATTTGAGAAAATCATTATACTAAAAAATACAAAAATAATTAAGACAAAGTCCCTGCCTTCAGTACAACTGTAATATAGTGGGGGATAAATGTTACCCTAATAATAAATGATATATGATATCAGATAATAATGTATCTGAAATAATAATTTGAGACATACAGTAAAAGAGTACCAAAAATGAGTCTTCTAGCTAGACAAACAAGAAAGACTTTGTGGAGAAGACAGGTGGATTTTATGTGAGTTGGGAGAAATGAACAAAGAAAATGTAAAAAACTAAGACGAGAAAAAAAAAATGATTACATGCAAGGAACATATCAAAGTAGCAGGGCATCAGTCCAGGCTAGATAGAATGTACAAGCCAAACTATCTACCTCAATTGCTTAAATAATGGGTAAGAGCAGAACTCATCTTTTGCCACAGGAAGGCCTAGACCTAAGGGAACTAAGCCATGCTTCTCTTCTTTCTTTGCTCAGCTATGTGAATCATCAATTTCAAGTACCCTTCCATGTACCCACAATATAATCTAAGAATGATAACCAGCTAATCTCCAGCCAATGAAGATAGAGGAGATACGTGGATTTCCATTCACATTCCACACCAAAATGAAGAGACTAACCTTACCTGAACTGCTTCTAAACACTTGACCTCTCAACAGCCATGATTCTGCCACCTTTAGTATTCTCAGCACTGGACCTTATTCCTGACTTCTACCACCACCTAAATTCAAAATTATTAGGCATTAAACTAATCAAAGTTATTCAGGGTACTGTAGGAAAGGCTAGGTGTCAGTTGGTGACTGTTTCCAGACCCAGATTTCCTGGTGCCAGCAAATTACTCTTTCCAGTGTCCTACAGTACACCTAAAACTCTAGCTCTCATCAATGTTCAAACTGCTTTAATGACTTACTAGAACCAAAGGCATTAAGCTAGTATCTCCTACCTGCACATCTCCAGGGGTTACTTTTCACATTATAGAGCACAAGTCCAGAATACAACGTGAATGCTAATCAAGAATACTGGCCACTATATGTCAGTTGGATATTTCAACAAGTATCCTTGAAAAATTAGCAAACCAAATTCAAAAACACATGAAAAGGATCATTCACCATAACCAAGAGGAATTTATTCCAGGGATGCAGTGATAGTCTGAAACCTTCAAATCGATCAATGTGACTCACATTAACAAAATGAAGGGTAATCTATGATTATCTCAATAGCTGCAGGAAAAGCATTTGACAAAATTCAACATCCACTCGTGACAAAAACTCTCAACAAAGCAGGTACAAAGGGAACATAATGCAACATAATAAAGGCCATATATGACAAATTCACAGTTAACATACTCAATGGTGCAAGGCTGAAAGCTTTTCCTCTAAGATCAGGAACAAGACAGGGATGTCCACTCTCACCACTTTTATTCAACATAGTACTGGACGTATTAGCCATAGCAACCAGACAAGAAAAAGATATAAAAGTCATCCAAATTAGTAAGGAACAAGTAAAACTGTCACTATTTGCAGATGACATGATGCTGTACATAGAAAACCCTTAAGAACACCTATTAGAACAAATGAACTCAGTGAAGTTACAGAATACAAAATGAATATACAGAAATCTGTTGCATTTCTACACATGAATAAGAAACTAGCAGATAGAGAAATTAAGAAAACAATCCCATTTATAGTTGCATCAAAAAGAACAAAATAACAAAGAGTAAATTTAACCCAGGAGGTGAAAGACCTGTACTCTGGAACTGTAAGACACTGATGAAAGAAACTAAAACTGACACAAATAAATGGAAAGATATACCATGATTACAGATTGGAAGAATACTGTTAATCTGTCCATACTAACGAAGGCCAACTATAGGTTCAATGTAATCCCTATGAAAATACCATTAACATTTTTCACAGAACTAGAACAAATAATCCTAAAATTTTTATGGAACCACAAATAACCCTGAATAGCCAAATGATTCCTGAAAAAGTACAAAGGTGGACGTATCACAATCCCCAATTCCTAACTATACTACAAAGCTATAGTGATCAAAACAGTACAGTGCTGGCACACAAAAAAAACAGACACACAGATCAATGGAACAGAATAGAGAGCCCAGAAATAAATCTACACTTATATGGTCAATTAATCTATGACAAAGGAGGCAAGAATATACATCAGAGAAAAGACAATCTCTTCATAAACAGTGTTGGGAAAAATGGAACATAAAATAATTAAACTGGTTACTTTCTTACAACATAAAACAAAAATTAACCTGAAACGGATTAAAGACCTAAACATAAGACCTGAAACCATAAAACTTCTAAAAGGAAACACAGGCAGTAATCTCTTGGACGTAGGTCTTAGTAATTTTTTTTGGATCTGTCACCTCAGGCAAGGACAACAAAAGTAAAAATAAACGAATGGAAGTACATCAAAATAAAAGGCTTTCAGAAGAAATTCAGATGGCCAACAGACACATGAAAACTTGTTCCACATCACTTGTCATCAGAGAAATGCAAATTAAAACCACAATGAGATATCATCTCACACCAGTAAGGATGGCTACCATCCAAAAGACAAACAACAACAAATGTTGGCAAGGTTTTGGAGAAAGGGGAACCCTCCTACACTGCTGGTGGGAATGTAAATTAGTTCAGCCATTATGGAAAGCAGTATGGAGGTTCCTCAAAATACTCAAAATAGAAATACCATTTGACCCAGGAATTCCACTTCTAGGAATTTACCCTAAGAATGCAGCACTCCAGTTTGAAAAAGACAGATGCACCCCTATATTTATCGCTGCACTATTTACAACAGCCAAGATATGGAAGCAACCTAAATGTCCATCAGTGGATAAATGGATAAAGAAGATGTGGCACTTATACACAACAGAATACGCAGCCCTAAGAAAAAAACAAATCCTACCATTCGCAAGAACATGGATGGAGCTAGAGGGTATTATGCTCAGTGAAATAAGCCAGGCGGAGAAAGACAAGTACCAAATGATCTCACTCATATGTGAAGTATAAGAACAAAAGAAAATTGAAGGAACAAAACAGCAGCAGAAGCAGAGAACCCAAGAATGGACTAATAGTTACCAAAGGGAAAGGGACTGGGGAGGATGGGTGGGAAGGGAGGGATAAGGGTGGGAAGAAAAGAAAGGGGGCATTACGATTAGCATGTATAGTGTTGGGGGGGCACAGGGAGGGCTGTGCAACACAGAGAAGACAAGTAGTGATTCTACAGCATCTTACTATGTTAAAGGACAATGACTGTGAACTTGGTGACACGTAGTGATTTTATAGTATCTTACTATGTTGATGGACATTGTGAACAGGGATGTGGGGGGGACTTGGTGAAGGGGGGAGCCTAGTAAACATATTATCTTTCATGTAATTGTAGATTAATGATACCAAAATAAAAAAATAAAAAAATAAATAAGCTTAGCAAATGTAATTACAAAATAAAGATTTAATTCATGATATAAATAAATAAATAAACAAACAAACAAACAAATAAATAAAAGGTTTTCGTACGAGAAGAAAACCATCAACAAAATGAAAAGCAACACCTATGGAATGGGAGATGTTTACAAATGATGATATCTCCAATAAGGTGTTAATATCCAAAATATATAAAGAATTCATACAATTCAACACCAAAACAAAACAATCCAATTTTTAGAAAATGGGCAGAGGAGCTAAAAGGGCCTTTCTCCAAAGAAGACATAGAGATGGACAACAGATGTGTGAAAATATGATCAACATCATTAATCATCAGGAAAATAACTATCAAAATCACAATCAGATCTCACCCCACACCAGTCAGAATGGCTAGTATCAAAAAGAAATAACAAGTGTTGGCAAGGATGTGAAAAAGAGGAACCCTCATGCACTGTTAATGGGAATGTAAATTGGTGCATCCACTATGGAAAACAGTATGGCAGTTCCTCAAAAAGTTAAAAATAGAAATACCATACAGTCCAGTAATTCCACTTCTGGGTATTCAACCAAAGAAAACAAAAACACTAATTTGAAAAGATATATGTACCCCTATGATTACTGCAGCATTATTTACAACAGTGAAGATATGGGAGCAACCAAAGTGTCCAACAAAAGATGAATGGATAAAGATGTAGTATATACCACATACATATAATGGAATATTATTTAGCCATAAAAAAGGAATGAAATCTTGCCATTTGCAACAATATAGATGGACTTAAAAGGTTATTATGCTAACTGAAATAAGTCAAATACAGAAAAACAAATACCACATGATTTCACTTATATGTGGAATCTAAAACAGAACAAAACACAAACAAACTCAATGACAAGTAACAAATTGGTGGCTATCAGAGAGGAGAGAGGAGAGAAGTGGTGGGATGGGCAAAATCAGTGAAGGGGATTAAGTATAAACCTTCAGTTATAAAACAAGTAAGTCACAAGGATGGAAAGTACAGCATAGGGAATACAGTCAAGAATACTGTAATAACTTTGTATGATGATGCTAACTATACTAAATCATGATGAGCATTTCATAATGTAAGTGTCAAATCACTGTTGTACACCTGAAACCATTATAATATGGCATGTCAACTACATTTCAATGAAAAATAAATAAATAAATATTTTTAAAACACTGTAAGAGAATAAAAAGAAAAGTTACAGACTAGGAGAAAATATCTGTAAACCATGTATCTGATAAGGAACTTACACCAGAATATACAAAGAACTCTCAAAAACTCAGAACAATCCAATTTGTTTGAATGGGTAAACAGACATTTCACCACAGAAGATACAGGATGGCAAAGAGCACTTGAAAATATTTTGGAAAAATAGTCTGACAACTTCTTAAATATTTATACATCTATCATATGATCAATCACACTACCCCTATGTATTTACAAAGGTAGCTTTATTTGTAATAGCCAAAAACTAGAAACAACGGCAGCATTATCAACAGGTGAATAAATGAATGTGACATATCCATAAAATGGAATACTATTACAATAAAAGGAATGAACAACTGATACAAACATCCTAAAACAGTTATGCTGAATGAAAGAAGCCAAATGAATGAAGAAAGGGAGCAGGGAGGGAATATATTCAGCATGACTTCATTTATATAAAATATAAATATACATATATGATAAATATTAAATTCTAGAAAACACCAACTAATCTTTGGTAACTAAGAGCAAATGAGTGTTTACTTGGAGATGGGGCAAGTGAAGCATGAAAGGGAGAGATTACAAAGGAGCACAAGGAAACTTTTGGGAATGATGGTATGTTTATTACTATCTTGATTGTGGTGATAGTTTCACAGGTATACCCCTGTCAAAATTTTATCAAACTATACACTTTAAGTATATATATATATACACACACATATACATACACACACACACACATATATAGTTTACTGTGTGTCCATTATACCTCAATTTCTTAAAAAGTGAAGGAACAAAACAAAGTATATGTAAGGAAAAAAAGTGATAAAGGCATAAGAATAAAGTCAGGAAGAAACACTGTTCAGGATGGAGTGGGTTTGAAACAGCTTGACATAAGACAGTGACACAAGCCAAACATCCTCTGTAGGCAGTGAGAATCATGGGTCTGCAGCAAAAAAAGTCTTTCCGTGAGAAACAGCAAAAGACAGAGAACAAGGCAGAGGAAGATGCCAGGTTAGCTCAATACCTCATTAATCTGTAACACACTATTTATGGCGCACTCCCCTTAGCCTGGCAGCTTTTTAAAATGCAGAAGTCAGACTGCTCTCCTGGCTTATTTCATACAACTGAAACAAGATCCGGACAAAGTCCACATCCTCTCATAGGTGCTATACAGACAATCAAACTCAGCTTAGCTTGCTTTGAAATGGTGTTTCTCAAAAAATCAAACACACTTTGTATAATTCTTCGTGATAATAAGCATTCAAGAAGACACACAGTTTGGCAGAAATATCTGAAAATGAATTATACTTCTAAATTGCTTAAAACACAAGAAAAGCTCATCCAAAATACGTCTTGTGTTATAGATGTTAACAAAAATGTCTCATTCTCAAAAGTCCAGTGAAAGGTGCTAATAGATTGCTTACACTGCTCTATGGATCAAGGATCCAGTCATTACCCCCTTGCCCCACTCTTCTGCAGGAAACTCAAGTGCCACCTTCTCAATAAAGCCTCCCTAAGCCCCCTCTTCATTGTGCTCCCTTGACAGAATTAATTCTATTTGTATGTCCTCCTAACTATACCTAAACAGCACTCAGTTCCTTAAGCTATTAGAGGTTAAGTACTGTTCTACTCATCACAAAACCTAAACACAGTGGTATGTACACACTAGGTACTAAAACAAGATAAATAGAGTTTGATGGCATAAAGCAAGCCTAAGGTGAGAAAACCAAAAGAGGCCTGGAGACCAAACCCAAGGCTCACCAGAATTCTGG